GGATGCCCATTTGAGATCTTCATCAAGTTATCCCCTGGTTGTCAAACACTGGAAGTGTCTCGGTTCAAAGAAGAACATAACCATGAACTGATACAAGACGTCTTTGACCATCTTCCAAAGCAGAGAAGTGTAAGCACTGCCCATAAAAAAGAAATTGAAGAAGCAATTCCACTGAAAGCAAATCCGAAACTTCTCAGTGAAAAAGTTGAGAAAACGACAGGAAAAAAAGTGACACTGAAAGATATTTCCAATCTGAAACAAAGAACAAAAASTGAACTAAAACAAAATAACTTGGATTCAGTCATTGAATTACTAAAAAACCAAGAGGGCTCTTCTGTGGAAGTCATTATTGACGAAGAAAAAAGGGCCTCTTGTACATGGACAGGTACATGAAGAACATGTACACTATGTTCCCTGAATTGCTATTAGTTGACGCCACATACAAGCTATTAGATCTTAGAATGCCAGTGTATCTGCTTCTATGTGTGGACGGAAACGGCTTCAGCGAAATAGTGTGCATGTTTTTCTTGGMCGAAGAAACGAAAGACGTAATTGAAGCTGCAGTGAATGCATTTAAGAAGTTCTGTCCGGCTTGGATTAACACTCATGTTGTCATGTCTGACAAGGACTTCACGGAAAGAGAGGCCTTTACAAAGTGTTTCCCCCAAGCATCGTTGAACATATGCTTATTTCACACTCTAAGATCTTTTTCAAGAGAAATTACATGTGAAAAAATGGGCATCACCTCTGGTGAAAGGAATCGTTCCTTGGAAATTTTGACGAAGATGGCCTACTCAAGAACACGTAGCGAGTATGCTAAATACCACCAAGAACTTGATTCGATCAGTAGGTCAGTAAGAATATATATARATAAGAACTGGACTCCAATTAAGGCACAATGGGTGTCTTGTTTTAAGGACTGTACATTAAATCTCGGAGAAACTACAAATAATCGTCTGGAGTCCACATTCAGCAAAATCAAATCTGTCTGCAGCAAATATGCCAGCATCCTACAATTTTCCCATGAATTCCTTTCTGTCCTTAATGTACTGAGAAGTGAAAGAAGCCATCACTATGTTATGTCCATTGTCCGTAAGCCTATCAAGAGTAAGTGCCATCAAGATCTTCAACAATATTTAAATTTTCTGACACCATATGCCTTTAAATATGTAGAGGAGCAATTCAATCTATCATCAAAAATGCAACCAGTAACAAATGACACATTACAAAAGACATTTTCATTCAGCTCTTCGAGATCATTTAACAACAATGAYAATTTTACAACAACAAGTTCCTCATGTACATGTCCCTTCCAAAACAAAATGGCCCTTCCTTGCAAACATATCTTTAAGGTGAGAAATATTCTTAACTTGTCTTCATTTGAGCCAAGAACTGTTCATCAACGGTGGACAATGACTTATTACAGAACACTTCGAGAAACACCTTCTCAAAATCCATATGCGATACCATTACGGTAAATGAAGTCACACTGCCGTCAAACAGTGACAAAAGAAAAATAATGACGCAGGCGCAAAAATTTTAAAAAGGACTACAACTGGGTCAACAATTGGCATCTTTAATAAGTGAAGGAGGAATGCCCACATACTTAGAAAGAGAAAG